CATTCCTGGAAAGCCACTTCAAGAGTGGAAGGCTGGTTTTGTAAAGCAGAGGTCAAGGGTGATAGATTATTCAGGCATCACCACCGTCAACAACAGGCATTCACAATCACAGCTCTGACACCAGTAAGGACATGTGCTACTTTGTAAGATTTTTAGATCTATTTGGGGGGTTGTTATTTGTGCTTTAGTGATCAAATAGGTTTCCATACAAGTTTTTTGATTCCTTCTACAGGCATGAAGCAAGAAAAATTACGACAGCATCAACTCTTTTAGGCCATCTGATAATTCCAGCCACTTTGACTTTTAGAAAAACATAGAGCATCACTGGATAGCAATATGCTGAGCTCATCTTAAAGACCAATAAAATTTCAGAGCAGAAGTTCAAGAGATATTTCATGTTGCATTATGGTTTTTTCTTAAAGACTCTAGTCCTCCTCCCTTCCTCAGAAAAAGGTAATTTTTCACTACAGATAGTGACAGAAGGACCAAATTGTTAAAAAAAAAAAAGGAAAAAAAGACAAAAATTTTAAAAAAAAAAAAAAAAAAAAAAAAAAAAAGGGCAGCTGACCTGGAACTGGCAAATTGTACACGAATACACGAATAAGAAGTCATTAGAGCTTGTTAATTATAAGGGTATGCATAACAGCTGACTCCTGCACTGGCCATTGGTGTGACTTGACTCTAGAACCATTGGTCCCACGGTGAAAATGCTTATTGCTTGAATTAAAGAAAAAAACATCACTAGCTTGCTGAAGTAACATACCTAACACCACAGAGCTCCATCAATTTATTACTTGCTGATGCAGCGCACTGTCCTGCGTATAGACTTACGCTGATTCTGTTGTCCTCAGTCCTCTTCCTAGTGCACATCGCAAATGTCTCCAGCATCTGCTACTCATTTCCCAGTACACAGCAACGGCCACCACCCCAAGATGAACCTGCCACGTTCAACTATGCAGCTACAGACAGACAGAAGTAAGGAGGCAGGCAGAAGAGGGGCATGGAGACTGAAACATCTATCAGGCTGAGACTGGTCTGAATGAGAAGTTTATGCTTTTACCAAAACACCTTCATTCTCTGATGGAAGCAAGACATCAATTAGTTTTCACTTGACTCACTCAAGCAATTTTCATACACATTTGATTCACCCTAAAAGTTAAACAACAAAGATCAGGAGTATTACAACTACACAATCACTCTTCTTGCTCTTAAGTAACTGACAACATGATTTACAAGATGTGCAACAAAAAACAATCACAATCCAAGCAAATATTACTAATTTGTAATCCTGCTGCCCCCACCTTGCTCCTGGCTGCATATCACCAGGCTCCTGTTCCAGATCTGATGCTCATAAGATCTCTTCATGGGCTAACTTAGCTCACGGACGTGTCCAAAACCCCACCTTTTTGCCAGTTTTTCTGCGCTGCTCGTCAACCAGTTCAGCTCACGGGCACGCTGGCAGGGGCTCGAGAGGGTGAAGCCCAGCAGGAGAAGCGCGTGGTCAGGGCAGACCCACAGCACTGAACTGCCCCCTTTATGGCATTCAGCTACTCAAGGCAAAGGAGTATCAGGTATCGTCTTCTGGGCTGAGTATTTTGGTGAAACAGGTCCTGCAAGAAAGGCCACGGGTTTTTGCGATTTGGGGCTCTACAGTGCCGAGTGCCCTTCCCCAGGGAAGGCTTAGTCTCCACCAAATTTTACACTATGCTTGCAGCACTCCTCTAATAGTGTTTCAACCCTAAACAGACAGCCACTTAACACTTTACTCATTTGAAAGTATTTATAAGTGCAGGCAAGATAAAAACCTTTCACTTCCCTTTACGGAAATAGTTACAGTGACTCACACTGCATTTTTTCTACTTTAAAAATACACCACACATTGAAGAAGTGATAAATAAGTCATCTGCTACTTACACAGCTGTTACAAACACGGGGGCTCCCTTCCGCCACTCCTACATTATTTACAATATATTCTGATTGTTCAACATGTACTACCACTGGAAATACTTTCCAGAAAAATCAATTTTTCTCGTACAGTCATCAG